TTATTTGCCTGCAAATCAGCCAAGATATGTCTTATTTTATTTTATAACAAGGGTTACAACTGAAATTAAAAAATAACTTATAAAACAAAATTTATTTTCAGAATTGACAGACAATTTAAATACGTAAACTGTAAACTTTTGTAAATGATTTTTTAGCAAACTTGTATTGATAAATCCAGTCTATTTTTGGAATTTTATTGTAGTACAAAGTCTGATTTAAAAAAATGCAAAAAGTAAACCTAAAATTCAAAAAAAGCGAGCTAATTTTTATTTTAAAGCGTTTTCAATTACATTTCGTTCGTTGCAATGAAGGATTAATTAAAATATACGAAACTAATTGAAAAGGCCAGTTTACACAATAATTGCATTGAATACGAGCTTAAATACAAATAAATAAAATTGCTTGCTATTGAGGATACTTCATATGTAGTATTCGTTCCATAACCACTTACTAATTTTTAGAATTCACTTAGAGCAGGAGTGGGCACACTTTTTTTGTAAGCGAGCCAAAATTCGTGTTTTTTATCGCGGTGCGCGGGCCGGATTGAAAATGTGTATTGTACAGCGACCATGAAAAAACAAACGTTTAAGTTCGTTAATTTTAATTATACATTAAAAACTACTCAAGCAAGACTCTTTAGAGATGGCAGTCGGGAATTTCCATATTTTTACATAGAAATTCATTTAACGAAATTAAGTAAATATTTTACTATTTTAAACTTTAAAGAAATTTGCGTCCAAATTGGTTAAAATATTGCTATTTTTTATATAAAAATATTTGAATGTTTTTAAAGCATCGTTTTCATTAAAATGACGAAAAGTAAAAAAATTGTTTGAAAAAGTTCATAAAATAAACAAAAATAAAATATAGAAAAAATATAATTAATTGAAATATTTTTGATGTTTTAAGGCGCAAAAAACATCTTTAGAAAGTTTCCTTGTGTTTGAATGAAATAATGTCATTTTGATATGAATAATTTTTTTTTTGTTAAAAAAATTTATGTTCAAAAATTATTTTAAGCTATTTAAAAGGTGATCAATGTAAGTTTAAGTACATTTATGATTTTTTGTTTAATTAAAGAATGTTTTTGATATTTTTTTTAGGTTTTTTCCAAATATAATTAATTCGGGAAATTTCCAACATTTTCTCTTTTAGTTTTAGAGAATGAAAATTTTTGGGAAATATGGCATCTTTTCGGCAGGCCCGACAAAACTAGTCATGGGCCGGATGTATCCGCGGGCCGGAGTGAGCCCACCCCTGACTTAGAGGAATCAAAACGGCCACCAAATTTCCAGGCCCCACGTTAAAATTCCCACACCCCACCTGTGGGGCGTACGCCCCACGTTGAGAAGCACTGATCTAGACGATTATTATACATTTACAATTTTAAAATAACATTTACATTTTTAAAATAATAAAAATAAAATTTGTCTGAAATTTTATATTGAATTTTATAATTGAGGCTCTTTTCATCAATTTATTGCTGATGCATTTTATTAAAAAGTGAATATTTTTACACATTTAAAAAAATGAAGTGTTGAAAAGTGCATAAAATGATTTATAAAAATTTACATCTGATTACTTTCATAGACCAATATGATACAAAAAAGATTTCCAATACATTTGGAAGAAGGATAAAGAACGACACCATTCTTGATTGGAGTTATTCAACTAGATGTGTGACAGAATAAAGACCTATTAATACTCTCATTAGTATCAAAATAATTGTGAGTGATAAATTGAAAATTTTTGTGCTCTTTTAGAAAAGTGAAAAGACTGAATAATCTCCCTTGACAACTCACCTCTTTAGGAAAACGGTTATACAAAGTCAGTCGACTAAAATCCCGCTAAACTTAAATATGGCGTTACCTGTTGCTCGCAGGACGGTTATGTGTAATATTTCGTTTGATGGATTATTGGATAAAAGCAACGAAGCCGCTTTGTTCATTGAGCTTATTAAATACATTTTATTCGAAAAGAATCAGATGCCTGAAATGTTTGATCAACTCAAGCGGAGTACTCGCGTTCGAGGCAAAGTATGTCCAAGTCACATGTTTAAAAAAGTTCTTTTATTTTCTTTTCTTGAACATTATATTTTATTTTTTTATAAGAAAAGGTGGTCATCATTAGAATCACAAACTATCATTTATTTTTGTATGATTTTCTTTTTTGTGGAGATAGGCAAAATAAAACTTAAAAAAGGCAAATTGAAATTGTCTAACATTTTTACAATTACATCCACTTTTTCGCTAAAACAGCATAGCATGATAAAAAAAGGCCCCGAACTTAATAAAAACAAAGTTTTAATCTCAATGTTTACTTTATGCTATTATTAAGAGGAAAAAAATCAAAAAATTTACCCCCAAAAATGAATTTCTTATTATTTTAAGAAAATCTTAGTAAGTATATATATTTTTCTTTTACATCTGTTTACCCCCTTAATTTCTAGGAATTAAATTCCACTCTCTAAATTTGTTTATTTCGTTAAACTCGGGACTCCTTGGACAATAAAATTGTAAATCATCCATTTTTCTCTCTTTTTTTTTTTTCTTCAGTTACTCCGTTCCTGAAAATCTGCTCCGAATCGTAAAATAAAAACTAAAACTATGACATTATTTAATTAGATAAACTTTTAATTAATTTATAAATATTAAGGACATAGTCTGAAAAAAGATTTTGTCGAATAATGAATTTTTACAAGAATTTTTCATATTTTTTTTTTAAAGTTTCAAAAATATTTTAAAAATTCATAAAAATTTACTCTTCGTTAGGCTAAGTGAATACTATAAGCGAAAATAAATCATAACGCACCAAGATTTTTTTAAATAATTTTTTGTGTGTTGTTGAGTATACCCATTTTGAAAGTATGGGTGACCATACGGCATTATCAGAAAATAAGATCCGTGACTATAATAAATTTAAAGTCAGCATTCCTAAAATTAGATTATGGAGAATATTTCCAAAATTTTTAAGCTTACTTAGTACTTAAAAATAATATAACAACGTTCACCCGTCATTTTCTTCAATTACGTTTTAACAGCTAAAGTCTCTGTAAAACAACAATAAATCTGTCTACGTTCAGAAGCACTTGAGAATTGATTTACTAGCCTTGCTGTTTCATTGTGATGTGTTTGTTTTTGAAAATCCATTTCTGTTATTTTCAGCCTAAATAAAGTAAATAATTTTTTTTTTTTAAATTAATTATATTTTAAATTAATTTTATTTTAAATTAATTATATTTTAAATCAGCTAATATTCTTCAAGTTTCAGAAAAGTATATTTTATTTTTGGAAGATTTTTTAATACAGAGAATTACACTGCTATGAAAGATGGCTAAAAAAGAGTGCAAATCAGCTATTTTAGAAAAAATAAAAACAATTCCTGTCAATATAATTTCTGTTTGAAATACACCAGTGTATTTTGCTTACTGGAGATAGTAAATTTAATCAATTAGCTTTCAATGAAAGCTTCAAGAAAGCTTTTTCATTTATAAAAATTCATTTATTTTAAAACCTTAAGTATTGTGATTTTAGTGGTGGTACCTACAAAACAATATGTTAGCATGATTTTTTGATTTTTTTTTGTTTATCTTTAACACAAAAAAGTAACTCAACAACAGTAAGTGATGAAAACTGAATTTGTAAAAACAACGCTATCCTTTTTATTAATTATTCAGGAGCTTAAATATTTGTATGATTTCTTTTTTTTCTTGTATGAGTTCTTTTTGTGTTTGATTTTTTTTAACATTTTCTCAATTGATTCTTCCACATTTTTGTATTTCTTTATTAAGGCATTTTAGTTAGTTACTTTATCACCAAAGATGAAATTTGGAATTAGCTCAAATTTTTGACTTGAGAAAAATAAACTTTTTTTCCATTTATTTTTAAGAATAAGAATGATATGACATTATTTTTGCAATCTTTATTTGTTATTTTTATTCTAAATCTTTTTTTAGCCAGTGTTTGGTGGATGTTCTGCCTATAAGATTCTTCTAAACAAGGAAAATTAATTCATCTTATTTTAACAAATATTTTTATGGTTTTTATCTAGCAAACACACTATATACATTATATATTAAAATGATTAAAATAATGTTTAATTTCAGTTTTAAAAAGTGTATCTAAAAAAAGGACAGGTGATACAGATTTGGAAATATACATATTCTAAAAATGAAATTAAAAGCTTTTAATATTTAATTTTCAGTGTATTTGCTAGAGAAACAAATTTATTTAGGGGGGAAAAAATAACTCATTGATTTTCTTTTTTTAAAAGAAATTTATTTGTAAGACCCAAATAACAATTGACTGGCGTAATAGAAAAAATTGCCATATTTTTAATTATTTTAAACATGAGGGGTTTCATTTTTTTGATTTTTTTAAAAGCCACATCATAAATTAATTTCTGGAGAGCTATACCATTTTCTCTCTCAAAAATGTGTTGTTCAAAGACACAAATATAATAGTTTATATGATGATTTCTTTCATATTTTATCAATTTTTAATTCTTAATAAATATTGTAGTTATTTATAGTTGACAATTTATTCAAAAGTTTAATAAAAAAACTTTAATTGCAAACAAATGTCTGTCAGTGTCAGTAGCTTCAATAATTTGAAAGATCTTTTACCACACGTTTATTACTATCAGTTGCTTTTTTTTTTTTCTTTTGCTTACTTTATAATTTTTGAAGGAATTCACTTCCACAGGTCAGAAGAAATGAACATCTTCCTGGTTGTAGTTTAAGGTGTCTTCTAATTGAGTGTAGAATTTCAAGAATGTTGATAAAGATTGGTCACTTTGATTTTGCAAAACAAAGTAACATGTTAAATTTAGTCTAAAAAAAAAAAAAATCAAATTTTGCATTTTTTAACTCGCTGTAAAAAAATAATTCAATGAATAAAAGCACATATAAATTACATATTTAGAAAGATTATTTTATTTTATTTTCAGCCATATATATTTAAGATTCAACCAGAAATACACAAGAAATTGCAAGTTGAACAGACTAAGTTGCAAATTTATCTGATCTCAAATGGAATCAGATATTGACTGGAAATGCTATCATTACACAAGAAAATGAAAGGCTTCTTTAGAAAGCAGAAATACTAAATTGAAAATCAAGACCAAGTCAAAAACTGCGGTATCAAAGGGAAAAAAAAATGAAAACCAATACCGAAATATAAATTGCCAAACCAACCAACTCTACATGCTACATAACATTAAGTAGACTTTCATTTATGACCTGGTATGTTTTCAGATAAATGGTACACCTTTTGTGTGTAATGTAATATATATGATACTTTTACAAGTAGACAAAATGTAACAATGGTCATCAGCAGCATAAATATGAATGTTCAATGCCTTCACCACCTTTGAAAAAAGAAATGTAAATCCAGGTTTGTAAAAGAACCAGATTATAGTCATGTACTTGAGATCATTTGTAATAAGCTTCCCGTGATAAGCTTTTAAATGATGTCAAAAATCTTGATGACAACTGTAAGAAGAATCAGAAAAAAAAAAAAACAGATTATTGCTTAGTGCTGATTGAGTAACTAATGACACCTTGTTTGCTGTACAAGCATCATGTGGCTAAGGAAGCAAACAACCACTTGATGAGGTTAGTGATAGGCAACAACCTTACTGTTAAAGTGATTTTGTTGCTGCTATATCTGCTCATGAGGAAGATGTTTCACCAATTAAACTCATCTAAAATCTAAATATTGGGCTAATAAGAAAGTTGCAAAGGTCAATGTGCTTTCGGTGATAGTGAATATAGAGCAGTCTGAGTAAAAATGGCTTCCAGGACCTCCAATCCTTGTATCAAGGAAAGAAAGCAATAAATTGGATAGAGAATAAGTTTCTTTTCATTTACATTTCTAAAGAGGAATTATGTTATCGCAAAAGATGCTGGGAGATGGTTGGTTCATTGTGTCATTCGAGAAAATACCTACCTCACTGTCATGCTCTATTTTTGTAAGAGTCAGATCAGTATTGCTGCCATATTTGGGCTGGTATTGCCCAATTTTTACTGTCCAGCATTGACAGATGCATATACACTGCCTTGTGTGTGATGAATTATTTTCACCTTGCAACCCTTATCCCACAGACAAAACATTGCTAGTCCTTCACTACTATATCAGTATTGTGGATGTTTGGACAAGTGATATTCCCTAGCTCCACAATCATCACATGTCATGTTGACAAAGTATCCCCCATTCCCTTCATGCTCTTTTGATAAAAAAAGAAGTTTCACTCGTACAGCTTCTTCTCCAGAACTGTTATAGTGTGGAACAAACTCCCAAGAGAATGCTTCCTGATAACTACAATCTTGGTCTCTTTAAGTCCAGAACCAATAGATATCTATCCTACTCGTCCTCATAACACTCTCTTACTTACTCTTTCTTACCCTTACAATCACACCCAGTAACCCTCTACTTTGAGTGGCTCTTGGGCCTTGTATTGGTTGACCTATCAGTAAAAAAAAAAAAAAAAACATCTGCCATATTTGAAAGTGGAAAGATGATGAAGCACACCTACACAAATTTCTACTTAAAGGAGCTGGTGAAAATCTACTTCCTCTGCTAATATTGCAAAAAATGTTGTCCTAAGGTTTGTAGACTTCAACAGCCATATGATGGTATGAAATATAACTATGAAGAAGAACTTAAGTCAAAAACTTCTCACCTTTTCAAGTCACTTGATTCATCCATTGTTCATGATTTAAATGAGGTTCATTTTACTCTCCACAATGGTCTTGATGGAAGTGCAAGTCAGTCTATTTTCAATTAGAAGAGAGGAAACCAACAAACAACATATTCATGTAACTGTGCCAAATAGAAAATATCAAATCACCTGCTGCTCAGGTTTTGTGGGGAAAACTCTTTGCATGCTCCTTCTTCATCCTGTCATACTTTTGATGGGGGGAAAAAAACCAAGGATAACTGTCAAATTGTATTGTAACTACAAGATGAAAAAGATTCTAATTTTAGTGTTGAATAATAAAATCAATCAATGCGAAAGCTAATGCACATTTTTCAAT